CTCTTCCCTAAGTCTGTATCTGTGGCCACTGCTTATTTTGTTTTGCTACCTGTGCCTCTTTTCCCCCAGAACACAAGGAGCAACAGCAGAGGGGTGCAGAAATCAGCTGCTTGGGATGAGGGGAGTGGAGGAAGGGGTTTGGTATGGCTGTGCCCAGCATGACCTGCCCTGCAGTTGTGTCACTGGAGTTTCTTCCCAAGCACGAACCCATTGCGTGATGCAGGGCAGGATTCAGGAGACAGACTGGGGAGGTTTTGGCCAGTCCTTACTGCCTTTTGCCTGTCAGAACAAGCTAAGCCTCACAGCTTACATCCCATTCCCCACTGCAGCTTGGCTGATCAGGAGGCTTTAGCAACTCCCCAGTATTGTTATGTTTAACTCCTGCACTGGAAATAAGATGTTTAAAGTACTGGATAAATTCCATGTTGGCCTTAGTGTTGTCATCCTGGTATTGGCTCCTGAAGGGGTGGAGATGCATATTTAGATGCTCCAGATCCAGAGAGCTGATGCTACATATTTATGCTCAGTGGGAGCCCCCAGTTCTGCAATATTATAATTAAGAACATGCAAAGGAGTGGGAAATGCAAACCAGATCTGCAGGCTGCTTTTGGCTGCTAAACCATTTTGTTCTTCAGCTCTCTCTTGCTATTCTTATACCTAAATTTATTTGCTGTTGGTGAAAGATGTCAGTTTAACAGACTTGTGAGATGGAAAACACCAACCAGTATTCACGTGGAGAGTTGAACAAAGGCTTCTCAGCTCATGGAAAGGGAAACAAAATGTTAAAATGCCTGGGAAGTAGGGAGATCACAAGGAAAGCTACATCCCTGTTTCCCAAGAACCACCTCTAACAGGGCAGAAGAGAAGCAAGAGGCATCTGGAGGTGGATGACACTAACAAGTTGTGGCAAGAATAAATGTCATTGTGGAGCATAACCTGGAAAAAGCTGGGAATGCTTCATGTAGAGAAGAAACATGAGAAGGAGCACAGGGTGGGAGGGCAGCTCCTTCTGTGGAAGTTTCTTACCTTAAGTACTCTTATTACCTTGAGACAACCCAGGTCTTGACCTGATGGGATGAAAAGTGACAAAAACAATACCCTGAGGCTGCGAGGTCAGTAGTATCAGTACTTAGATAGATGGGCAATATCCAACTACCTGGAGCCGTGCTATGGCACAGCTCCTGAGTTGGTGTTCATTAAGGACTCCAGAAGAACGTTTCATCCCATATCACAGCAATGTGTGTGGGATGCAAAGCACAGTCACATTCACAAAGAGGATCTATAAATAACCTCTTAAAGAAATCTTTCTGAAAGAGAACAAACCTCATGCTGTTCCACCTTAAAAGGAGAATTGCTCCTCGATACACAACGTACTATGAGTTCCAAAAAGCAAATTGGAAACAGATCAGCATCTTTTCCCTCCACAGCATGGGCAGCCAGCCTGGCAATGGGGCTAATGCAGCATGAGGACTTGTTTTTCCAGTGACATTTTAATTAACGTTTTTGTTAATAGGATTAGGGACCTTTTGGCCATGACCAACGTCTCTTGTGCATAAAGAGGCATTTCTGTAGGAAAAGGTTTGCCTGTAAGAGTGAGAACCAGTTGTACTTTCTGCTGCTTCTGGCTGAAATCCCAGAGGGAAAATCCCTGAGGGTTGCCAGATGTGGGGTGGTTTGGTGGCACGTGCAGTGGCTGGATGGTGATTTTTGGCCAGGGAAGCCACCCTCTACCATGTGGTGGTGAGAAGAGGAGAGTCTGCAGGAACTGCTGCTCGGAGGGAGGGAGAAAGGAGCAGGATGGTCTCAGTGGGGACCCAGCAGCCAACAAATACCATGATTTTCTACTCTGTTTGCTGTCAGTACTTGAGGTTTTCTCAAACAGAACAACCACCTCTCTGCTTCACAACTTCCTAGTGCACCTCAAGGTGTCTTAAGTAGTTTTTAAAATAATCACTGTCACCATGAGCCCAATTCTCAGCTCTGGTGGTTGCCCTGCAGCATCCCCAGGGTGGAAGCAAAAGGAGCCTGTGGGTGTGCAGGGCTAATTGAGGTAAAATAAGGTGTGTCACCAGTGACAGACAGAGCTGAAATGGGTGGATTTAACTTTTGATACAAGCCAGTGAAGCAGTTATACCAACAGCTCTCTGCTGCTGCACAAAGCAATGACAAAGGAGGGCGATGTACCTTCCGTCCTGAACCTGCACCGCCATCTCGGCTTTAGGCAGGGATTCCTGTGGCAAACCTTTCCTGGCTTCGAGCTAAAACCCCCTCACAGAGCCTGCCGAGGTCGGTGCTCTCAGCAAAAGGTTGAGGAGTGTTTCCCTCATGGTGTATTCCTTTAATTGGCAACTGTTGCCTTTAGGGATTCCTATGCAGGCTTTGGAAACCTGAGTGCTCAGTGACTTAGACCTTATTTGGGAACTTTGTTCAAAGTTAAGGTTAAGAGGAGGGAGAGGGGGAAAAAAAAAAAAAAAAAAGGAATAGTAGATCTACTCACCACCACTAATCTCCTCAGTGAGATCTTGACGGGCGCTGGCAACCGACACCTCAGGCAGATGTTTTGCTGCAAATCCCTGTCACACGCAGAGCCCCAGCCCCGTCCTGCTGCAGCAGAGTCCCGAGGGCTGGGCAGAATTGACTTTGGTCCTTCTTTTTATTATTGTTTTACTCCTTTTTGTGCGTATTTTTAGCTTCCTGCAGCAGCTCCACTTTGGCTCCACGTTGCCAAAGGCATATTTTTATTATTGTGTAATGGATCTGCGCCTCTTCCTTGGTCACGTGGCGCGGGAAGAAATTTTTACACACATATGGCTGGAAAGCTCTTGAGGCTGGGGGAGCTTTTCCCTTTCTCTCTCTCCCTTGCAGTCTTGGAGGAAAGGCTCAGGAGTTGAGTGGAGCATTTCTGACTGATGCTGCCCCACTCTGATGTATTTGCTGCCCAGGAAAGCAGGGGATGGGTAATGCAGATCCAGCTAGGCAACAACTTTGACACTTTATCCTGGAGCATTAGCAAGGGAAGAAAATCTTGTCCTAAGGGTGGAAAATAATTTCTAATTGTTCCAGGCTTGAATTAAAGACACAGTTGTGAAGCAGCAGCTTTCCAAATGCAAATTTTGAGAGGAAACTGCTTGTACTTCAGCACTGCTTCAGGTGGATGTGCAAGATAAAACATGACTTTGTCATAGGGATGGCAGGGCTTCTGTCGTGGGAAAGGGTTGGGATTTTGTTATTACAAACCCTCAGCAACTGCTTCAGGTAAGTCAGGAACACTAGAAGGAATGGCTGAAGCCAGAGCTGAAGCCAGGATGCTCTGGGATGCTGCCAGTGTTGGTATCAACCAGACTGATGTTTTTGTTGTGGATTCCTGTTCTGGCCCAGCCAGGACCGTGCACAGGGCCTGGGACAGGCGTGTGCCTGACAGCAGGGCTCCAGATCCCACCCTGCAGCTCTCCAGCCAGTGAATAATTTCTGCTCAGTGCAAACCATCAGCTGATTGAGAGCACAGAGGAATTGTCATTCTTCACTCTGCCTGAATTCATCCTTCTCAGAGCTGTTGAGGTTTATTTTTAAGCTTTCCCCTGTGCTTGCTTTTGGAACATGATGGGAACGGATGTAAGGTAAAAATGAAGTATGTACACAGTTTGCTTTGTGAGGTGGGACCAGTTCAGATGCTCATGGGAGGAGTGGGAATGTTTGGCTGAGGAAGCACAGGGCTGTTTTTGTGCTGTGCCAATACTCCTGTAGAGCTCCTGCAGAGCCAGCGCCTCAGCTCCCTGACACTCTGTGACGTTCCCTGCCATTGAACAACCTTCAGGAGAGCAATCCTCCTTCCCAAACCCAAAGTCATCACTGGAAATTTCACTGGGAAAAAGGTTGTTTTCAGAAAACCTGCCATAGGTAGGGACAGACCCAGACACTGCTCCAGTGGCTGCTCTTCCCTGGGGCAGCTCTGGTGATGGGTCAAATATGAATGAACACTTTTTGCCTGTTTCAATAAGGTTTGGAGGAACCCAGTTCCTGTATAGGGCCTCTCCTGCCTGGGTGTGGACCAAAAGGCTCCAGGCACTGCAGGTGCAAAGATCTTTCCTCAGATTTCTTATGAAACCAGATGAAAACTTCCTGTAGGGTTTGCCACGGTGCCAGTCGGATTGGCCTGGGAAGCCACATTGTTTCACTCAGATACCAATGGCGTTGGAAAGAAAAATACCATTATCTTCTGGTTGTCCTGACCCTGCCCCATGGCAGCTGGGATGGGTGTGAAACAGGCCAGGGATGACATGGTTCTTGAACACACAGGAGTCCTGCCAGGAAACTCCATGTGTGACCAGGGAATTCACAGTCATGGGTGATTCTGAGCCCAGATCTGCAGTATGTTGAAGGCAGCAAGAGCCTGACCTAGTTCGTCAGCATGGGGAGAGGCAGTGCTGGGAAGCTCCTGCCAGGCAGATGGAAAATATGTCTGTGCTGCACGGCCAAGCCGAGCTGCTCTGGGGTCCCAGACAGCTCTGCTGGAGAACATGCTTGGCAGCACACTGTGTTAAACAAATAAACTGCCCGTGCACAGGGAATCAGAGCAGCCCTGAGACTCATTTCTCAGTGCATTTTGCTTCAGAGAGACATTGCAGGGTAGCACTAGGAGAGATCATGTCCAATCCGCGCTGCTCTGTAGCAGAAGCCTCCCTGCCGAGGGTCTCTCAGGGATCCCAGGGAAGGCTGGTTGCTGCAGTGCAGGGAGCTGGCTCAGGCTGACAGCCCTCCTTGCACAGCTCTCAGTGGGGAATGGAGAAGGGGTTGAACGATGCAGAGACCAGCCTTACTCATCAATCCCAAAGTCAAACATCCTGACAGCGAGGTGAAGACGTGGCAGATGGTAAAGTACCTGATAAAGGAACAAAAACATGAAAGTACTCACAACTTATCCAAAGCTGCACAGTTGGCCTGGACACTTCTGACTGACAGCCCAGAACTTTATACTATAAAAGCTCAGTCTCACTTTTTAACAGAGGATCTTCCAACACACCCCTTCTTGGAGTGTGTGCGGAGATTCCTCCCTGGAGTGGGGACACCCCTCAAGGTCGCTCCTCAAGGCTGAGCCAAAGAGATTTGCCCATGGTCATTGGTCTGGGTGAGTAACATCAACCTCTATTTAATAATGTGCTAGCTTTAATACAATTGATTCAATATAATTCCTTCAGTTTTGCTTCAAAAATAGTGCACTATACTACACAATAGTTATAGCTACCTATACTATGAACAATTCTGATTAAGATCTCTTAGTCTAAACATTACCTTAATAAATCCCCCTTTTTTATATATATATATCTAGTTTGCCATCTTTAATCCCGTGGGACAAAGTGGTATAGAGGTTAAATTATACCTGTATAACCCTTTAGGCACAAACCATAGACCAAGTCCAGGGCTAAGACTAGATCCTGCCCTCAGGCTCCTCTCTGAGGGATAGATTAGGAAGCCAGAGAGCCCTTTCTGCACGCTGTAGCTCATTAGGGTCTTCCCTAATAAACTTTGTCTGAAGCTCCCACTGTGCCCATGGGCTGCCTAAAAGGTGGGTAACTGCCCCAGGACAGCAGGTCTGTGTCCCAGTGAGGGAGGATTTCTCCTCACTTACTTTCTGAGCACTACTCATTTCATTGTTAGGTACTGACCTTGCAACCAAATAAAATAATTCAGCAAATGCCAAAACAGCTGCAGTTCACCCAGAGGCTGCAGGCAGCCAAAAATACAGCCTTCCCATGGCATTGGGCAATACCAACGGAAAATTGCTCCTCATCAAAGATGAGTGTAGGCGCTTTGGGTGTTTTTTGGGAGATACTAATTGGAGGGAAGAAATGTTTTTTCTACCCAACAGGCCTCCAGTCCTAGTGCGGGATGGTGATTTGAGTAGTTTTTATTGCCCTGCCTAAAAGGAGTTTAGAAGTCTGTAATCAGTCTACAGAGAGTGATTGTCCCTCTCCAAAAGCCCCCATAAAAATGAGTCAAATCTCTGTTTAAACTTAAAGGATGCCCTTGAGACTGTTAGCTCTGCTTAGGATCTGCAGCCCTAACCCATTAAGATAAAAATAAATAGAGCTTATTTTAGGAAGATGAAAGTGGGAACCAACCCAAGCACCAGTGAGCCACTGCCAGCACAGAGAAGATGTGTAAAGTTTGGGGTTTTTTCCTCTGTTCCAAGCACCTTCAAATTCAAAATTAAATTCAGCAACCTTTTTGGCTCGCCACAACCTGTCCAGGTGTCAAGTAACAGAGTTAAATAAGAAAAGACTTCTGAAAATGCCTTGTATTTCCCAAAACCACAAAAAACTCCAGACCTTCTGCTCTGGGGTCTGTAGCATCAGCAGCAGCAATCACAGTCCATGGGGACATGGGCAGCACTTGTTCAAGCCAGGAAAGCCCGTGATAAATGTCTGGAAAAATAACACATCTGGAGTACAGCAGGTTACCTGCCCTGTTTGTTGCTTGAAGTAACAGCAAGCTCTCTCCATCTTTCTCAGGTCTTATTCTTCAGGGCTTTCTTTGCTCCCCAGCTTGTAAACAAGAGCTTCCCACACAGGAAAATACATCAGGAAAGCTGAAAGAGATAATAACAAGCTCAGCAAACTCAGTTTTCCACATCAGCACATCAAGGCAAGAGAAAGAACATCCAATATAGGATTCTAGTTTCCTAGTTTTTAAATTAGCTTGCTCCAAATATTTTCTTCCTCTCTTCTGAAAAAAAGGAAAGGGAGAACTCTTGCAATCCTGCCTGCAGGTTTCTGAAGAGGAGGGGGAAAAAACTCCAACAAACAAAAATCCCAACCAAGTTCTACCTACTTATCTACATTTTTTTCACCGAATCTTCCTAGACACCTACAGTATCTAAAATGTATTTGACTATGTTGTATGACTTCAAATTATACCTAAATTAGGCTACTTATAAGATGTTCTCAAAGCACCAGATCACTGGCTCCAACCTTCTTTGCAAACAAAAAGCACATACAAGGCTTCACCACAACTTCCTATCAAGTCAGCAGCTGGGGAATGGGTCCTTCAGCTCAGAGTAGGTGAAAGTTATTCCACCAGCACATGAAGAGAGGCCAAAGGTCAAGAGCAGTAATATTTAGCTTTATATATCCCTGCAAATAAGCCAGGATTAATTAGACCAGGCAACACTAAGGCCTCCCTGGCTCCCTCTGTGGGCTGGCACTCACTCCCATCCTGTAATTTCCCATGTGAAAAAGGTTAACTCAGAATTAGGGTCTCGTTTACAATAAGCTTTCAGGGGCCACAGCTCATGCCCAATTGCAAATGAGCTTGTGGTTTTGGGAGCCAGCTGCAGATCTTTCTCTTTGCTTTCTAATCAGAAAGAAACCTCCCTCCCATTCCACAGCTGCAACATATATAAGGGATCGGGCTCAGGCACTCTTGTTTTTCCTTGGATATTTTAGGGGAAGTGTATTTTTGGCTGCAGCCCTAAAGAGCATGGAGAGTACTTGGAGAATTTGTGTTTGTTTCTGCTGCTGCCTGCCCTGGCTCTCTGCTGGCATCCAGTGCTCCCCCCACTCCAGGGGCCGTGGGGGTTCAGACAAGGCCCCTGCTTTTTTGGAAGCTCCTGGGGGTGCTGCCAGCGAGCTCAATCCAGTGTTGCAGCTGCCCCAAGGTGCCAGGCAGGGTTATGCCCCCCTGCCTCCCCTCCTCAAGGTGCTGTCTGACCAGGGCCCCCGGAGCTGGGACAGTGAGGTCCCCAGGCTGCAGCCGGACTCCAGGGCCCTACGCTACATGAAGAGGCTCTATAAGATGTCGGCCACCAAGGAGGGGATCCCCAAGGCCCACAAAGGCCACCTCTACAACACCGTCCGACTTTTCACTCCGTGTTTGGAATGCAGGCACCGCCACAGGGACCTGGTGAAAGGTAGGTGTGCAGTGACCTGGATTGTAAAGGTTAAATGGGGTTTTTCTGTGTGTTCAGCGCTTGCAGCACGGTACAAAAATAGCTCACTTCTTTAGAGCTGTTGCTATTTTAATCCTTAGGGCTGTTCTCCTAAACTGTAGGAGTTTTTCATAACCTACTTTTCCTTGAATGGCATTAGGTACAGACTTCACAGTTTGGGAAATACCACACAAATGGTATGTGCAAGATGATACTCGTGTGTCAGGCTGACTCATCTTATCATGAATCAGAGAAAGCAACAGTCAGGTTTAAGAAAAGTGGAAAAAATGCCTAGGCATAATGGGCAACACACTTCCTTTTACTGCCTGTCTTGGTTTTGCTTTTTTTTTTTTTTTCAAAAAACCCACAGCACTCGAAGGAGACTTGTATCAAACTGCTGGAACCCATTGCCAGAAGGCTCCTCTCCATGCCTTGTACATTTGCTAGGGAAGAATCACAACCAGAATCTGTGAATAACCTGAAGGGAGGAGTAGAATTACTTGTAAATCAGGCTCAGGACTGAAACTAGGATGGCTAGACATTCTGGTAACTTAAGCTTTCACAGTATTCTTAAATGAGGGCTGGTCACAAGAACAGCACCCAGAAGTCCTTGGCCATTAATTCTACTTAAGTGACTGCCGATAGGTGATCTGAGTTCTCCTGACTTGGATTTTTCGCTAAAAAGACAGATAACCACAAACATCATACTCATTGTACTTCAGCACAGGAAACAGCACTTCAAGATGGAGTTCATGGTTTGTATCATCTGGAGTGCCTTGCTCCTGTTTCCCCATACCAGCACTAAACAGACAGCTGCTGAATTCCTCCTATACTGTTTCTTTCAATGAAATGAATCCTAATAGCTCTTAAAACTATGGGTTTTCTTGGGCTTGTTGTAATTTCTTGACTTTTATGTCCCTTTTATGGCCCCAAGTAGATATTCCATGTCATAAACGTAAGGGAGGGCATCTAAATTGGTTTCTTCTGCTGCTGAATCATTTCTACTTATCCACTGGTATAGTATTTATGCCTAGTGGAAAATTAAGATACTCTAACTCTACAGCATTCTGTTTCCCTTCCCAGGAGATGTTCACTCGGTGGATTTACTCTTCAACCTGGATCGTGTTACTGCTCTGGAGCACTTACTCAAGTCTGTCTTGCTTTATTCCTTTGACACATCTGTTCCCACTTCCTCTTCCATTACCTTCATATGCCATTTATCCATTAAGGAACATGATTCTGCCAGCCAAGTTTGTCCCAGCATTTCCCACTCTCTAGCTTTTAGCCTGCACTTTGAAGTTAGAAAACGGAAGTGGGTGGAGATTGATGTGACTTCTTTCCTCCAGCCTCTAATTGCTACGAATAGGAGGAATATCCATATGGCTGTGAACTTCACTTGCCTGATGGGTGACCCACAAAGGAGCACAAAACTAGAAAACCCTGTTAATGTGACACTGGTTCCCCCTTCCCTTCTTCTGTATCTGAATGACACCAGTGAACAAGCTTATCACGGGTGGAACTCACTTAGGCATGGGACGAAGAGTCCGGTGCGGGCCAGGCAAAGGAACAGCCCACTTGTGGATCCTACAGGTGACAAAGGGAATTCCCAGAGCAAAAGGGCCTCTCGACAGCGAAGGAATGAGAATCTGAAAGCAGCACCAGCAACTTCACCTTATAACTTGAGTGAATATTTCAAACAGTTTGTGTTCCCTCAAAACGAATGTGAGCTTCACAACTTCCGCCTCAGCTTTAGCCAGCTAAAATGGGACAAGTGGATCATCGCCCCGCACAGGTACAGCCCCCAGTACTGCCAGGGGGACTGTCCCCGGGCCGTGGGGCACAGGTACGGCTCTCCCGTGCACACCATGGTGCAGAACCTCATCTACGAGAAGCTGGACCCCTCTGTCCCCAAGCCCTCCTGCGTCCCAGCCGAGTACAGCCCGCTCAGCGTCCTCACCATCGAGCCTGACGGCTCCATCGTCTACAAGGAGTACGAGGACATGATTGCCACCAAGTGCACCTGTCGGTAGTGGTGTGCTCTGCTTTCACTCCAGTTTTGGGTATTTATGCATTCTCAAAGTATCTGTAATTATAATCCACTGAAGAGCATTGGTGTAACCTGATTGGGATTTAGCATGGAGTTGGCAGAAGGTGTTTACATCACAGCACTCATTTTTGTAGTCACTCAGCCTTTCTAGAATGTGCAATTAAATGTAAATAGTATCTTTTTATTGGGATAATTATGCATTTAAAACGTGGAAAAGGTTTCAACTATTAAATGTCTATTTTAAACTGCTTTCTTGTAGATTAAAAAGAAGGAATAAATGCCTATCACACATCCCCTAAAATCCAGTACCTTCTAGTCTGCCTCTCTACAGAAATCTTGTGAGTGTCATCTCCAGCAAATGTCTAGGAAGAGAAGAAAGTCTTTAATGTTAAAATTACTTCCTAAGCTTTATATTCTTTTTCCCTACCACATTCCAGCTCTTCCAAGCAAGAAGACATAAATTTTCCTCACAGTTCTGTAGAGTTATCAAGTTGTTTCTTTCTTTTCTTTTGTTGCACTCTTTAGGCTTTCTAAACAAAAAGGAGGGCAAGAATTTAAGGACAGCTGTGGGGTGACTTGTGAACACTTAAATCACTGAACTATATCAGTAAGGACCTGGCACCAATTGACAGGTGAGCTGCTAAAATCAGGAAGGCTTCATCTGGTTCAAGAATAAGAAACAGCTGTGCCTGGGGTAAGGGCACAGGATTGTCCATGAGGAAGCACACCACCACTGGCTTCTCAACTATGAAGAAATGTTCAAAAAGATTAAAAAAACACCCCCAGGCTTCTAAAAGCTTTAAATGAGCTTCTGTAAATTCTGTTCAACTGGTTTAGTGTTCTGAAATGTGGGGCCACAGTCTCATTCCTTCTTGCAATGAAACTGTAGGTAACAGTGCCTCAACCTGAGATGCTTTCACACCAAATTTTTGCTGTGATTGTTTTATTTTCTCCTCTTAGACTCTTCTAGTTTTAAGAATTGCATCAAAAAAGTTGGTTTCATACAGGGGACCCAAGCTAGGAGCGATTTAGTTGGGGTTTGCACACAGACACTCCCAGCTTTTGTTTGTTTGTTGGGTTTTTTTGGGTTTTGAGGTTGTTGGGGTTTTTTTTAAAGGCTGTGGAGCAGAACTGTCTTGTAAAATTTGAACTGCCTTTAAATTTGACTTGCTAAAACACTGACACATAAACACTGTAATTTTCTCTGCTAAGCCACCCAACCAGTCCCTAGCCTTAGATCCTGAGCTATGCAATTCCAGAGGGCTGGGAATTCAGTCTGGCAGGGAAGGGATGTCCCTGAGGGGTTGGTGTGTGGTGTTATATTGCTGTGCTGGTTCACTTGGTCGCTGCGATCTGGTTGATGTCAGAGCGCTGGAGTGCTTTGGGGAGGTGCAACAGGCATAAATCTGCTGGAGAAGTGAGGTTCCTGCTGCAGGTTTCAGCCTGCAACTACTGATATTAAAGTTGGGTTAAATACCAAAAGCTCAAAGCAAATATCTTGATGTCACAAAGAAAACATTCTGGCCCCAAACAGCACTGTGGGTGGTTGGGTGAACTCAGGTTGTGTCACCCCTCTCTGATCCCTTCAAACTGTGGGAATTCAGCTTTGCCAGCCTGCCACGGTGGTGAATAAATTATTTCCTGATGCAAATGGAAAAGGCAATTTCAGATGGAGGAACCCCAGGTTTGAGTTAGTGACAGGCATCTGCAGAAAAGTAGGACCTCAGCAACAGAGTAAAGGTCAAGACCTGCTCTCTAGAGAGGATTTAGGTAAATGCAGCACTCCAAGTTTTCAGGGATACACATGCTGATAATCCCACTGTCTAATATATTCCAATAATCCTAACAGATTCTGATAATGCCATTAATGTGAAAGATGTTTAATGTATTCTAATAATAAGCATGTATAATATATTCTAATAAATCTAATATCTTCCAATAATGTTGAACATGTCTAACATATTCTGTGATATATATTCTAACAATTCCTAAAACATTCTAATATTAGTTCAAATAATTTAAAATATTTCTAATATAGTCTAATAATTCTAATAATAAACTCAGGGATGTGGAAGATATTTAAGATATTCTAATAATTCTTCCAATAATGTGGAGGATGACTAATATATTGTAATAATCCTATTATATTATAACAATCGCCCTAATAATGTTGAATATATGGATTATATTCTAATAATAATTTCAATAGTATTGAATATGTCTAATATATTTTAATAATTCTAATATCTATAATTTTGATGTCTAATATACTCTATTAATAATTCAAATGTTAAAAGTATCTAATATAGTATAATAATTCTAATATAGAAGAATAATAAATTCAGTTATGTGGAGGATGCTTAATATATTCTAATAATCAGTCCATTAATGTGGAAGCTGTCTAATACCTTCTTATAATTTTAATATATTGTAGTACTAATTTCAGTAAGGTTGATATCCGATCTATTCCATTAATAATTCTAATAATAATATGAAATAAGTTTAATACAGTCTAACAATTCTAATATATTCGATTAGCAATTCCAATAGTATTGAAGATGTCGAATATAGTCTAGTAGTAATTTCAGTGATGTGGAGATGTCTCATATATTCTATTAACAATTCCAGTAGTGTTTATGTTGTTCATTGCAGGGGGGGGGGGTTGTTGACTACTTAACCTTTAAAAGCCTTTTCCACCCCAAACTATTCCATGATTCTACGATGTTACGCCTCAAACCCTCTCGCTGTAGCATTAAATCTCCACAGTACCCACACAAAAGTGGCTTTTTCTCCGACATTTACTTATTTTTGGCACTTCGGCGAATTTTACGCCCTGAGGCGCTGCCGCCCCCCACTCCCCCCTCACAGCGCCGGTGCTCCGTTTGACCTCCCTCCTCTCAGGGCAGCATCCATTTATTACACACGGAACTTACTACAGACATCGCTTATTACCCGCTGGATTCTTTGCAAGCACCACTTATCGCAAACACACTTCATTACAAGCACCACGTACTACAAACAGAGCGCGCAGCTCGCGGCTCGGCAGCGGCGCCAGCAGGGGGCGCAGCGCTGAGGGGCCGCCATGGCCCCCGCCCGCCCCGGAAGGCGAAAGCGGCGCCGAGGCCGTTCCGGGTCGTGCGGCGGCCATTGCGCGGTGACCGAGGGGACACCGCGGCCATGGGCAAGCACTTCGGCAACCTGGCCCGGGTGCGGCATGTCATCACCTACAGCCTCTCGCCCTTCGAGCAGCGCGCCATCCCCAACGTCTTCTCGCACGGCGTCCCCAACGTGATGCGCCGCTTCTCCTCGCAGGTGTTGAAGGTGGTGCCCCGTGAGTACAGCGGGGGATTCCCCCCCCTCTTTGTGCCCCCTTGGCAGCGTAAATCTGGGGAGGGGGGGATGTGGGGCTGGTGGGGAAGATGGTGGGTTTGTGGGACGCTGTGTTTTGTCTCAGGAGGTCGGTGCAGTGCGGTGCCCCCACATTGTGAATATCCCCTTATTCCATTGTCCCCTCCCTTCAGTGTCCCTGTATGGTGAATATCCCCTTATTCCAGTACCCCTTACAACAGTGTCCCGTTATAGAAGTGTCCCCTCATTGCATCGAATGTCCCCTTGTTGTGAATTGTCCCCCTGTTGCAGTGTCCCCTCATTGCAGTCTCCCCAGTATTGCAGTGTTCTGTCATTGCAGTGACCCCTCATTTTAGTGTCCCCTTATTTCAGTGTCCTCTCATTGTAGTGTCCTTTTATTTTCTGCGTCTCCTTATTCCACTGTCCCTGTGTTGTGATTGCCCCGTTATAGCAGTGTCCCCTCATTCCCATGTCCCCTGATTGTGCCTGTCCTCTCTCCCTCCCAGCCCTTGCAGTCGGATACCTCATTTATTCCTGGGGGATGCAGGAGTTTGAGCGGTTGAAGAGGAAGAACCCGGCCGACTACGAGCACGACCAGTGACCACATGGCCCCGGAGCTCATTCCCGCACTGTTACGGACCTGCTGTGCTTGTTCCCGTGGCCAGAGGGGATTAACAGGGAGATAAGTCTTGTCTAATAAATTGTAACTTTGCCCCATGACTTTGTGTGAAATCTGTGTCTTAAGCTGTTTAAGGTGAGGAGCATCAAATCCCTTGTCTGGTTCTCTCTGTACAGGCAGATAATCAGGCTTAAGTTCCATGTGCTCGGATGTTTTTATTGTACAGCGCTTCCAGCCTTTGTGATTCCTGTTTCTTTGAAATATTCTTCGATATAAAGTGCAGCGAGGGCTGGTTTGAAATGACAACTCCTTGTTCTGTTTATTTTCCCATCACTGGCTGCTGTTTTTCCTCCAGCCTTGAGATCTGTGAAAAACAAACATTCCCTGATTTAGCATTGATTAAAAGCTGGATGAGCTGGACAGTGGCTCGGGATTGGGGATGGACCCTGACCTCTCTCTTCACTGGAGCCCCGGCCAGAAGATGAGGGGGAACAGGAACAAGCTGCACCAGGAGAGGTTTCATCTCCCTGTAACAAAGGAATTTTTTCCAGTGAGAACAATCAGTCCCTGGAACACCTTGCCCAGGATGAGGGGGAGGCCCCAGGGAAGATTTCAGGAGGTAACTGGATGGGGTGCCAGGTAACCTCATGTGGGCTCCCTTCCAACAAAATGCTGGGCTAGCTGATCTTTCAAGGTCCGTTCCAACCTGGGCTGTTCTCTGATCCTGTGATTCCACTTACCTAGTTATATTAATGTTAATTATGTGATTAACTACACTGTGATATCTGATTATTGTTAATGGGCTGCGTTAGAACCTTCTTGAGCACTACAGGGAGAAACACAACGGATAAACGCCTGCAGATGATTAAAAACCAGCCGCAAGTAGCGAAGTCACTTAAATAGGTGACAAATTCACCCTGTGGCTCTGAGCATAGAAACAAGCCCCACTGTTTGAAGTCCAGAACACTCGGCTGGTTCCTTTATCCGAATTTTTTCCTTCCAGTGTTCCGCTGACTGCCTCAAGCTCCCGCCCTACACAGAGCAACACGTTGCTGTGCTATTCCTGGAGCTGTACTGGGAGTTTATCTTATCTGCAGGGCAGCAATGACGTTTGTATGAGTTTCTCCACGTGCTCCAGGATGGGAGACAAAGATGCTCAGGCTCTCACTGCAGGAAGCTGGGGGGATGGAATTTTAAGAGGTCAGTGTTTGAGTATTTTGGGGCTTGTAACATATACTTAAAGAGCACGCGAGACTAAGCTCAGTCTCCTGTGTATCCTCCAAGCACAGCCTGAGGTTGGCATAAACTGCAGTAAAACCGGTCAGCCAGCGCTGCAAGTGTTGGCAAAAATATTCTGTGCTTAAATTTACCTGCAGTTTGGTTCATTGGTATTTCTAGGCTGCTTAAGCAAGCAGGGAGCGTGCTGTGGGAGCTGGCAGAGATGTCTAGAGGCAGATTTATAGAATCATAGAATAGCCTGGGTTGAAAAGGACCTTAAAGCTCATCCCATTCCAATACCCTGCCATGGGCAGGAACACCTTCCACTATTCCAAGTTGCTCCAAGCCCCATCCAGCCTTGTCTTGAACACTTCCCAGGATGGGGCAGCCACAGCTTCTCTGGGCAACCTGTGCCAGGGCTTCACCACCCTCACAGAGAAGAATTTCTTCCTAACATCCAACCTAACCCTGCCCTCTGCCAGTATGAAGCCATTTCCCCTTGTGCCGTCACTGTCTACCTGTGTAAAATATCCCTCTCCCTCGTTTTTACAAGCCCCCTTAAAGCACTGGAAGGAGATAGTTATTCAGAACTTTCTGTCCTGCCCACTGAGCCTCCGAGAGCACCGGAGCAGCTGCTGGGTGGCCTCAGTGACAGCCCCTGTGAAGTTGTGCTCAGTAAACACTTGGTTTTCACTGTGTTGTCTCACAGCTCTGCCAAAGGCCAGCAGTCCCTGGGGCTCTCACGAGGTCCCTGCCCCTGCTCACAGACAGCTGAACTGTGTCTGCACCAGGTGCCAGACAAATGTAAACGGGGGCACCGGCACGGCGGCCACGTGCTGGCCCCGGGGTGGCTCAGCCCGTGCCAGGGTCAGCCCTGAGCTGCAGGGTCAGCACCCAGCTCCAGGCCAGGCCTCTGCACCTGCTGCTCTTCCACCTGTTGCTACCCTGCCCAGCCATCCTCTGACCCCTCCAAGCAACCTCCCCCTCGGATGCAGGGCCTGGATGTTCCCTGCGGGGATGGTTCCCCCTGCACCCACGGCACTGGCACCTGGGTCCCTGGGCATTTCAGAACCTCAGCAAGGCGCTCAAAAATTTTTCAGTCGTTGGTTTATTTTCATTCTCTCTTTGGTAACTGTTAGAAGGGGCAACAGAGCAACATCCCCTTTCTCACGTCTCTGCTGTGGGTTCTTACCAGCCTCCAGGACTTGTGGGCATGGAAACAGCTGGCTCAGTTTTGTCCTTTTTTCCCCAGTTTCTTGCACAGTTTGCTGCCTGACAGGCACATGTGGATGCTATTAGTGACCCGGAAGGACACACAACAATTTTGATGTATCATCACAAAGTACCAGCCTTACCCAGCCAAAAAATCTGAAAGATGACTTACAGAGTCATTCCTGTGCTTCCATGGATGAACTCAGGGCTACAGCTGCTGCCTTGTTCTCCCTTCTCTGTTGTACACTAGTGCCTAGTGGAAATAGCAGAAATTAGAACTCAGATGCATGTAAAGGAAGAATTTAATGGGAAAAATAATTGAGAAATTCCCAGCCGAATGTAAAAGGAACTTTTAAATTCAGCTACCTGACATGCCATGATTTACTGTCCCATTTCCTTCACAACATAAAATCCAGGAAGGAGAAATAATGAAAAATTTTGCTTCCTCCTCCCAGAGAAGCAAGACAAACAGGGCAGAGGAAGGAGTTTAAGAACCACCCTAGGAAAGGAAGAAATAATCCAATATTGGTTGTAGACAGCATGCTGGTTTTAAATAAAAAGGGGAGGTTTATTATTTATGTATTTATTAATAAAAAACTGGGAAGGTGTTTTTATTTAATCCCAGTGAAATTTGGGCTAAGGGGTAATCATCTGACAACATGGCATTATCTTAATCTAAGTCACTTGCCCTCCACGCTGGCACTTGTGCCTTCATATTAAGCAATCACAGAAATAGAGCCTGTGACATCCAGATCTGTATTTACAATTTAGCTAAAAGATAGTTCACTATTTTATACAATATCTTCCTACTTGAAGTAATTTAAAACATAACGTGTTCCAAAAATCCCGCACACTGACACAATTAAGTTGGAATTCTTTTTACATCACCCTGCAATCTCAAATGTCTTGACCTGACAGATTTGGGGCACATGGGACAGATGTGGGAGCCTGACAGAGCCTCAGACTGGCTTGGGTTGGAAGGGACCTTAAAGCTCATCCAGTTCCACCCCCTGCCTTGAGCAGGGACACTTCCACTAGACCAGATTGCTTCGAGCCCCATCCAACAAGATACACAAGATCTCACAGATGAGGAGACACAAACATTGGGACAAGTGGGAGAACTGTGTAAGCAGAGGATGACAGAGGAGATGAGAGGGAACAGCTCTGCTCAAACACTCTTTTCTCTGCTGTTGCAACCTCAGTCCACATTGAAAAAAAGTGAGATTCCTCTTAATGACAAACAGCCCATCCACATCCACGGGAGCTGCTGGCATTGTTTGGAAGCCCAATAGTAAGTGACAGACATGGAGACAGAGACAGCTCATCTGAGGAACCACAGTCCTGCCACATGGAGCACCTCAGCTCCAGACAGCCCTTGAGCAGCCTCTTCCAGTATCTATTTGGAGATGATTATCTTTAACACACCTCAGGATTCCTGGGAGAAGAGCTCTATGAGTTACTGCACATTTTACATTCCCAGACCCATCTGAGAAGTGTTACACCTGCTCTTTGAGCACCATGTGCCTGGAAAGGAAGGTTAAGCAATTTCCTTATGGTTCTTTCCTGTACCAAGAGCGAGAAGCAAATCAAAAGCACAATCCTTTGCTCCAAATAAGCTTGAGAAGACAACACTTGCCCCTGGCTGACAAACTCAGAGCAGCACACACTGTGAGTGGCACAGAAGTTAAATAAGGTTATGGCTTTTTGATCTTGACCATAATAATTTGGGCCAACACCCCTTTTGCTTGCAAATAGACCATGGAGTTCTGGTAATATGTTAGGTGGGCTTTAAAAAAAGGAACAGTTGGCACAATGGGTAAGGTGACCAGACAAAGTACAAGTGGAAGGGGAGTAAATCATTACCTCGAGAGACAGGCCTTGAACCAGATCACTTCAACAGATGTAGACTTAGCAATTCCCTCTTGCTCCAAACCGAACTTTGTTCCTGTAATAACTGGCAGCTGATGCAATGATAAGAGAATGAAGTCTATAAAAATCTAGCTGAAAGCCTGGGAAGTTCTCACTGAAGGTCTTCCTGCCTCCTCCACCCACGGCTGGTCGAAGTGACAGCTCACGCTGGGAAGATGCACTGGTGGAAAATGATGGCAGTCCTTTTGCTCTGCTCACTGCTGCTCAGCCAGGTAAAAAGAGACAACTACTGAAATATAGCTACTGAAATAAACAATTAGAAATAAACTATTTAAAGAGCTAATTCAAATGGACAGGAAGTTAATGAAAGCTGCTATGATTTGGATGGAGAACTGGCTGGAGCTAGAGGTGACAGTAGTGCTTTTTTAGAGGATTCAATGTCATAAAAATGAAGAGTAACTGCTTAGTGAATACTGGGCTACTCTGAGCCATAACTCAGCAAGCGATCCTGCCTTCCCTCCCAAGATTAAAAAACATTGTTAATTTTGGTACTTAGCTCTTTGGGGTTGGGCTACAAGCAATGCTTTAACAGAGTGTGCCACGATCTGAAGACTGGAAACAATTCAAGTGCTTCCCTTAATCTTAAGACATTGACCTCAGCATCAGAGCAACCACCTGCAGGTGCCTCGTGTGCTGACAGCCACTCCCGGCTCTGTTTCAGGCACACGGCATGTCCCTGCCCCAGTCCCGGGCGCCGCGGCAGCGGCGGATGACGCCCTTCTGGAGAGGAGTGTCCCTGAGACCCATCGGAGCCTCCTGCAGGGACAACAGCGAGTGCATCACCATGCTCTGCAGGTAACTCGGCCTGGGCAAGGCACCCCTTAATGCTGTGTGATGTAAAGGAAGTTCACACTTAGTCTCACCCAAACGGGATCCAGAGTTCACAAAAAAAGATACCAGGAACGGGGATGGGGCAACAGACTCAGACTCTTTTGTAAGCAGTGCAAACAGAGCAGAGTCCAAGTCCCTTGACTGCCAGTCTTAGTGCTTTCACTGCAACCCCAAATAACCTGGCTTTGCAAAAAGGAACAGAGGACTCCAGGCAGCTTTTAGGTAACTGTAGACCTTAAAATTAATCCTTCCTAAAGCCAATGCTGCTCACTTTAAAGCATGTATTAATTAAAAGTAAAAAAGCATGTATTAATTAGTATCTTACCCTAAATTAACCACTTTAAGGTGCTTACTAAGCTCATAGTTTAAAAGACAACTACAACATCAAACACCGTTTAGTTCTCATGAACGCTAGATGTGAGCAAATTGTCCAACTACATATAGTTGAATTTATAAATTGATTGGTTAAAATTCCTACTTAGTGACTAAAAGGTGATTTTGTGTGGCATCTGCAGTACATATATACCAGAAATCACAGACAATGTAGAACATTGCCACCTTCTACTATATGTGAATAGAAAAAATGAATAAATGTCCTATTATTAATAAATGATTATAAATAAGATTATTTCATATTCTATTATAAATAAATAGGATAAAAAGTAAATAGAACAAGGTGGTTGGGCTGCTATGCTGTGTTTGAAATGAATCACTGGGTTCTGCTGATTCCCAGAACTGAGCTGGATCAGCAGCTACAGGAAGGTGCAGACAGAACAAGACCCTGTGGACAGGACTGCAGTTCTGTACCATTTCTACACTGCACCTGATCCTATAGCCCTGGGCAACACACATTTTGGAGTTATGATGTAAAGCTAAGAACAGAATTAATCCACACAAACTGAGTGGAGTTAGAGGTGAACGCAGCATGCAGAGCTACCTGAGCCACCCTCCAGCACCGCTGGAACACCTGGGCACAGGGGGCACTGCCAAGGATGTACCTGGGCTGCCTGTCTGGGCCCAGCTCAGTGGCAGCCCCAGCTCTCAGTGCCTCATGATGTTTTTTTTCCAGGAAGAACCGCTGCCTCCTCACCACGGCCTCGGCGTGAGCTCACGATGACAACACCCCTCACTGTTACTGCTGACGGAGCTCCAAACTTGGGACCTATTTATTGACTGCTCAGGAGCTGGACAGTGACTCGAGCAATTAAATATAAACCATATTTAATACTTCTGTCACATGTGCTGATAAAAGGACTTCCAAGAGCTCAAGACCATCTCCTGCCGTGGCTGTGCCTCAGGATGCCTCTGGCCAAGCTCAATAAAAGGACTCTGCCTCTCCTGCTCGTTTGGTTTTTTGTAACGGTTCCTATTATTTATTTGAAGGTGTGAATTAAAATATATATTTAGCAAACCACCTTGGTTTTCCTTGTATCCTGTGAGCAGAGTGGATGGTGAGTGCAGAGCTGGTGCTCAAATCCAGCTGGACCTTTATCCTTCCACCTGGCAGGAGCATAAAGTAGATGAGGCTCCATCTCCTCAGTCTGACAGATGAACTCTTATCAGTGCTCAGATAAAGGCCTGTTAGAAAGAGGGAGCCAAACTGATAATACTGATAGCAATTTCAATATCCCAAATATATGTGATAACTGGAAGGAAAACTATTTACTTTTAATTACTTCTAATCAAATTTACTTAAATACATGTCCTAGATTGACTTTTGCCACTGACCTTACCTCCTATTTTAAAATAAATTGATCAAAATTGCTGGTTTGAGCTGCTGGATGTTAATTCAGAGGGCTGAACACAAAGCAAAGCACTTTGGATTAAATAAGAACACACTGGATGCTGCTTTTTGTTTGTTACACAGAGCACTAGGATCAGACAAAGAGAGAAGTCTGCCTAAAAAGGCACTTCCAGGGAGAACACCCATAGAACAGATACGAGCACAGGGGATTGGAAGTTTAATACAGAAAATCTATTTGATATTTATTAAACTTAGTTTCTCCAGTTACAGTTTTGCATTGTACAAAGCATTTTAATGACACAGTAGTTAAAAAGATCTTTACAAATTGAAATGTGATACCCTTTTCTCCAAATATTTTAATTGCCATAAATTTGTTTAAAAATACACATTAAACGCATGTTTCAGACACTAAACTTTCTATAATCTCAATACCACAAAATACATAGAATATACTATACAGATGTGGAAAAAATCTAGTTAGTATATAATACTTTGCTCACCATTAACAGCTTTATTACGTGAAATGCACATACTGACTTAGAAATCCTAATTTTGAGCCCCAAAGTACCCTTTGAAATTTCAAATGTATTGCAACAAATAAAATCACAGTTTATTTTTTTCAGGTTTTGGTTGAAGACAGATGCCCAAATCTTTTGATAGAAAACAATATGTAACACATGGACTTGTCATGTACAAAGCATAAAACAGAGACATCCCATTAGTTACTAACAGTACCTTTCTGTAGAATTAATCAGGGCTTCATTTATAAGTGACAGGTTAAAAGTTACCTCCCCCCCCCCGCCCTCCCCCAAAAGAAAAACCCCTTCTTCACCAAATAATAATTTCAAATAAGATAAAGGATTTTTAATAAATATATAAGCACTTTATCCTCCATATACAAAATTTTTTTAAAACAATTTAAAAGGGGGACCAGATACAAATGTCAGGAACTGTGCTTGAAGAGTCATTCCTGGTCCTTAGAGTTGAGTTTGGGATGTGGAATGCCAAGGCAGCCCCAAGGAGCTGCTGCAGCAGCACTGTGCCCCCAGCTCCACCACGGGAGGGTTGCATATAAAACTGAAGACGGGGAACACTGCATTCCCATTTTCCTACATTTGCTGGAGTTACACCAGGAATGGGCACATTTCCATAAAGTTTCCAGGTGAAATAAAACAGGTGAAGCATGGACACACAGACAGCCCAGCTCACTCCATGCTGCAGCACAGCACCTGGAATTGCTCAGGCAGTGGACTGAGGGACACTCGGCTGAGCCGGTGGCTCCAGAGGGTTCAAGGGGAACCCAGCTCTGCCACACTCCCCTGAGAGCAATTCCTGATGGCACAGGTGCCCCCTCCTTCCCTGCCTTTCCCTCCCAAATGGCACCACAGACCGAGTCCTCAAACAGTATTGGAGCTGGACACACCACGATTCCCCACTGACAACCTTCCTACCTGGGAAACCCTCTCCTGGAATAGCTCTGGCTCTGTGTGAGTTGGCGAGCAAAAGCTCTGGCTCCTCTCTGTACTTTAAGATGTCTGGCACTAACTTTGTTGCTTGGAAACACGGGGTTTTTCGTAACACTGACACATCAGATGGAGAAATTTAAACCCTGACTGAAGGATTTGTCGGAAAGGTAAGAATTTGGAAGTTGTTTACTCCCCAATGGGTAATTCAAACTTGACTTGCTCAGGCCCTTGTGGATCTGCCTCAATACAAACACTGCAGTGACAGCGAAGATCTGTTCAGAAAATAACATTAAATACAACAAAGGTAGTTTCTCTCTCTTTCCAGCAGTTTGCCATTTGGGCAAACTCCATAATTCTCTGCCTACGGCTTTATTTTACTTGCCCCAGGCAAGTGCTACATCATTCCCATAAATTCTGACTCTCTGTGTGTAGGGGCCATTCATAAATACATTTCAGGGCATTTTTTGTTACCACAGCAATCAAGCCTCAGCAATCTAAAGGAATATACATTGCACTCCTGGATAATATGCAATATTTATCACCAATAAGATGGTGACTCAGCACTCAATAAATAATATATCAATATAGTCAGTTGCACCATAATCTAAAAACAAGTATAACATATACTTTGGACAGACTGAGTCATATATATATACATATATATTAAAAGACACACACAATACAAATTGCATACTGCCATCGAAAGCCAAGGAGAGCCATCCGCCCGCTCTGCTTTATGGCTACGAGATTCAAATCAAAACAAAACTCTTGGGCTGGTTTACTCTGGTGTCCTGAAGATTTGTTTGGAATTATAAATGGTTGCACCTTATCACCTGGAACCTGCAAGTCTGAGAGCAAAGTCAAACAGCTGAGCAAGCCTAGTCTGATTGAGCCATTCCTAAGATTCACCAACTGGGACCACGATCAGCAAGGGAATTAAGATTACGGTGTTGATATGTATGAACAGACAGCTGTCCAGGGAATCATTTGGGAAGCAAGGAGCTGGGGAGTCCCTCCTTAGTCACCACTGAGATGGGTGTTGGTGCTGCAGTGACCTGCACTCCCACTGTGGTGCTGGAGGTGAAGGACAGGGACAGACCCTCCCCTCCCTAGGATGGGAACCTAGCACATACTTGCTTATTTTTTTTGGCTATGAGATCTGACTAAATTTATAACTTTCCTCTTGGGAAACAACGGTAAATCCCAAATTAACATATGCTTTTGGAATTGTGAAGGTTAAACTGATCTGTTTGCAACAGCCCCAGATGCACAAGGCATTTCTGATCCATTACCAAGCGCACTGCAGATCTCCTGCCCTGACAGGACACCTGGGACAGCACTCCAGAGGATATTCCACCATGGAGCACCCTGTTCAGCTGGGACACTTCCAACCAGCCCAGGTCCACATTTTGACATGATGCAAAAAGCCTCCTGGTCATTTGAAGACAATTTCTAAGATCCAATGATCTGGGGATAAGCGATGCATTTTTAGGAGACCAATTCAGAATGACACCAAAAGGTATTTGTGGGACTCTAGTTAAGGAAAAAAAATTCCCAGAGATGAGACCATTCCTGCTGAGAGCAATGGTGACTGTGCACAAAGGAGCAAGCCAAGAACAGCCATGCTGGCTAGTGCAGCACTACACACAAAACCAACCATGAATGCAACTTCTACAAAGGTATTTCTACAGCGTCAGAGGTGTGCGAGGCACTTCAGAGTAGGAAAGGAAACACAGCTGACAGTGTCCCATGCCCACGACAGGGAGTTTGAGGGTACAGAGTTCTGTCTCCAACAGCAAAGACTAACAGAAACGTGACCTTGCACAGTGATTCCATAAAAAGGATGCTCCAACAGACCTGAAGAGTCGATTCAGCGACCAGGGAAAACCACAGGTCTGTTACTCAATGTATCAATCCGGACGTAGCAAAGCTTTTCTGGAAGTACAAAACACGCTGGGACGCAAAGGAAGCTCTACGAATATGCAGCTACCTTGTAGTAGGTTACTAATTTGCAAAACTTCTAAACTCTTAAAGCCCATAGGACATACTGCAGTACTAAGGAGCGTAGAATTCTATTCCTTCTCTCGAGGTTGCCGTGATTTTGGCACTTAACTACACCTACACAAAAAATTTAGTGCAATAATTTTCCTGAACATGCACGTTCATATCTGGTACAGAATAAAGGGTTCAATGGGAGAGAAAACAAAGCAGCATTCCACAATCTCACTCCAAAGGATTCAGAGCTGGACTCTTGGAAAGGAGACCACCGCGATGAGTCAGTTTGTGTGACAAGACACTGGGATTTGGAAAAAGGAAATGGAATTTTACCCAAGTACTGCAGAAGACCACTGCATACAGTATACCTGGTCCTGCTGTAAAACATCTTGTAAACAGTTCATAAAATCTTCATCTAAAAGTAAGGCATAAGGCACACCAGACATGTTGGGGGCACTAAGCAATACTGAAAGCAGTAGCATTTGAAACCTTTTACTCAGACAAGCACCTCACGTGAAAGGTACTTTGGTTTGCACTCTGAGAGCAGCCAACTGCAACTCCAGAACCATGTGTGTTGCACTGAGTGAATGTTACGCTCCGTCAAATGTGAACAGGACCTTCATTACCATGGGGTAAAGCCAAGTTTTAGATCCATTCTGCACCAGAACAGTCGTTTCCCTGCAGGAGCAGGTGAGCTCCCACCCCACGGTGGCTGCAGCACTGCCAGCCTGTAGTGTCCATCACCCAGCAGACCCCAAGAAGACAAAATGGACCTCGAGTTCTACTAAAGATTCCTGGTTTCTCAGTCAATGGAAAAGATGCAAATGACAGTTCTGGTAGGAATTTAACTACTATTGGGTTTTCAACCACAAAGTTCACCCATTTTGTAAGTGTCAAAAAGTGACAAGCACGGAAACAAAAGGTATTTTAAATGAAGAGATGCAAAAAAGCACAAGATTGTCCTTTTCCAAAGCCTTTCCTGTTTGCATCGCACCCATCGGACTGAAGGTCATTCCTACACCATTACTTGGATGTTACATTAAATGCAAATTACTGTAATGTTTTGTGATTGTTATAGTGTTAATCGATGGCTTGAAACTGCCTTGAAAACAATCCAAGTCAGATCCAGCTAAA